CGGTCTTATTCATTTCGTCACAAAGTTTCAAGAGAGGCTAATGTTGAAAAGTGTGTAGATTTTTTGTGTTTGTGTAATAATAATAAGTCAGTTTGCACAGAACGCAATGGCTGGAAGAAAAGAAGACAGTATTTGGCAGATTTACATCAAAACCACCTCTTCTAATAAGTCGGGATGCAGAGCAACTTGCAAACAGTGTAAGAAAGATTCAAGGCAGAGTACAAAGACTGAAGGCACACCATGGCGTTTGTAAGAGGCAACAAAACAAACAAGGCACAACAACAAATGCAAACATCGATCTTCCGCCCAACTTTTTTGGGACTGGGAGTGCTTCTTTCTCCTTTACATTTCGCTCGACAAGCTCCAACTCACCTCCAGAATCTCCCTCATCTTACACGCAAACAACTACCGAGTTGGCTCACAAGAGAAAGAGACGTGAAAGCCAATCCTCAACGTCCAATTTTGTTAGGCGAACATCAGCAGGGAAAAACATCTTATTGGCAAACAAATAGCTCAGGCCATATTTGCCACAAACTCAAGTTTTAGATGTATCGAGAACTCGGAAGTCAAGAAAGCCATTCATCTATTGAGACCTGGATGCAGACCTCCTGCTCGAAAAACCGTCGCATCGAGACTTTTGGATGAGATTTATACTGAAGAAAAAGAGGCAAGTTTTTCATCTCTTTCGGGGAAAAGTGTTAACATGTCGATTGACGGATGGTCAAACATTCACAACGAGCCGGTTATACGCGTAACATTAACAACGGAAGATGGACGAGCGCTTCTCTATGAAACCATTGATACTTCTGGAAAGCCTCATACTTGGACATACCTTACTGATCTGATGTGCGATTTAATTTCCCCGTGCCAAACAAAATTTCAGTGTTAAGTGCGATCTTTTGTAACGGACAATGCCGCTAATATCATCGCAATGAGGAAAACGTTAGAAGAACGGACGAACTCTGAAGTTAAAACTTATGGTTGCTCTTCGCATTTACTAAATCTGCTTTGTAAAGACTTACAGGTGCAAGATATCAAAGAACACATAGTCCAAATTGTCAAATATTTCCGCAACAATCACATGGCAAAAGCCAAATTTAGTGCAGCTGGAGGCAAAAGACTAGTACTACCTAGCGATGTTCGCTGGAACAGCGTGGCCGACTGTTTAGAAGCGTATGTCACACAATGGGACATCATTCTCAAGATTTGCGAGGATGACTCAAAAGATATCGATTCTGCTATCTTCAAAAAAGTCTCAAACATAGGACTGAAGCATGCAGCACAAGAGTACCTGAGCCTTCTGAAGCCTATTGCTGTTGCTCTGGATATACTCCAGAAGAAAAATGCCACAATATCTGATGCCGTAGAGCAGTGGATACTTTTGCAAGATAAGTTTGAAGAATCTCAAAATTTATCTTTAGAGAAACTACAGAAGTTTCAACATCGCTATAAGCAAGCTCTTACACCTTACCACTTTATTGCTTACATGTTAAACCCGGAGAAACAAAACTACGCTTTAACTCCTGAAGAGAAGAATCTGGCTTTGGAGACTATCAGTGAGCTTCATGGAAACTCGGGATTGTTGCCACT